TAGCATGAAGCAAGAGTACCCTTTCCCACATCTTTCAGCATTTGGGACACATAGTGCTATAGTCCGTTCCAAAAGTCGTGCTCTCAAATTGAACAAATATCTCGAAAACTCCTGTGTTGATCAACACAAATTTTTGCATTTGGACTTAGATTTCTCATGTCCTTATGAATTAATTATTTACAGATGCACAACTGCTGCTGTTTTCTTACAGTGGCCAATTTCTTTTATCTTTGTTGGACTAATAATTAGTGTATCTCTTGCCAGCCAAAAAACTCAGTAATTGACACAAATTGTATACTTTCTATAAGCCAGTCAAGCATTATGTCAGTACATGACGTATCCATATCCCTTTCAAAATATGTGTGCCTTAGTTTCTCACAGATTACCTCCAAAACATGTGCAGTTTGATGTTTCACCTCAATCCAATTACTGTAAACATACTGGTTGCTTTCAATCTGTCTTTTTTTTTTTCAAATACCACAAATAAGCTAAACAAAAAGTTGATGTTTGTTTACATTTATCTTTTTTCCTGTAAGGACATGATTATTAATAGGTAAAATGAAAATTTCTACAATTTACACCGAACGGTTGCAGATTTTAAAAGTTGGGCACAACTTTTGGAGCTGACTATAAACCTGTATTTTATAGACCAATCAGCGCTCAGTGTATGGTTTGGTTAACATCATAACCACCGCCTTAACTTACCAGAACTTTACTTGGTAACCACTTAAGGCTAGGTCGACCTGGGAGCCTATGTAATATTTTGTAAAAACAAAAAGTCAAACTCCATTCAAATTAGAACCCACTACATTAGAATCTACAGGCAAGTATCTAGTTGCTACACCACAGCGGCTACCCTTATCATTAATAGGAAACTGAATTGAAGTTTGTTTCTCATAGAACTTTACACTAAAATACATACAAATTACTTGGGAACCACTAGCACAGTGGCTAGACGCTTGCCTGTAGGTACAAAGGTCTAGAGTTCCAATCCACATTGTGGCAAATTGTTTTTTTTATAAAGGGACTTTGACTTCCAGGCCAGCTTAGCCAAAAATGGGTACTAGGTAATGTCTTGGAATGTAATGGTAGCCAGAGTAATCTTAAACACATCAATCGAGTGCCGACTGGTTTTTAAAAAAAAAAGGGAAGTTCTAAAACTATTTGGCCGATGATCAGCCAAAGGCATGAAAAGAAGTTCTTTATTTTTTTACTTTACAAATGGCATACACAGACAAACAAACTTGATTTCCTGAAACGAAACCAGTTTCACGTATCATAATTACATAAAACCCTCTCTGCGTGGGTTCTGGGCCTCAGTGTGGGGAATAAAAACAAGAACAGACTCTCTTCCCTATAACAAGCATGTCGTAAAGGTTAACTAACTAGTGGTGCTACCTTTAAAGTCAAAGTGCTACCTTCAAAGTCAAAGTGCATCTGCCTGAGAGGCATGGAGCCAAAAGTCTGCATACAAATAAACCAGATCTGTTAAACAGATGTGCACACAAAACTCAGTTTCTGGAATAAGACTAATGTCCAGAAGTAAAGGACAATCAGAATTTGTCCACCAGAGTTTACAGCATGACACTCCCACAACATAGGGCAGACAGTGGGAACGGCCACGGCACAAATGGGAGGGGAAGAAACTGTTACATGTTGGTGAAATGCAGGTTCAAAAATAAATACCGATTAGTTACATCTTTTTATTTAATTGACAACTGAAATTCTTGAATACCTAATTTTTCTTAGCTTTCCCCGGCTGTAAACTCCAGTGAAAAATTCTTATTGTAAGTCCACTTCTAGACTTAAGTTTTGTTCCAGAACTTGAGTTTTGCATACAAACCTGTCTTATTTGTATGCAGACTTGGTTCCCTGCCTCCAAGCAGACACTCTGACTTAAAAGAAAACACCATCAGTTAGTCAACTTTTGTGACATTGTTGTTAGGCGGAGGTCAATTCAATTGAGGGTTAATTCTTTTGTCTGTGCACAATGGAGCACCGGAACCAACAGGGAGAAAATTGTTGAACATCATCATCAACATCATGTAGCAGGTCCCTTGCAGAACGTCGCTCTCATTACAGTTTGTCTGAAAGAAACTCGGTCTCTCGCCAGTTCTCCCACCTCATGCATTTTCACATTCAAGGAGTCACCTATATCCTGTGCCCATCTTCATGTCGGTCGGCCCCTGCCCCTCCTTCCTGGTCGAACATAATGCTAGGTATTTGCAGTAACAATTCCTACGTAGATCATGTAAATGCAGACAAGGTTAAACCCGACAAAACAATTTGTTGCAAGCCATTTGTCATCAAACTTTCAGTGACATTTGAAGTAAAATGTATTTGTATTTATTTATTTACATGCATGTACATTGAAACAAGTGCAATTGGGAAAAAATCAAGTTATCTTACAATAAAAGTTTTCTTAAAATCCCAAAATTAGCATAATTGCTACAACAAACATGTCTGAAAGCTCAAATTTGCTGTGTACTGTTACATCATACATCCTTGTCTTCTTATCCAGCGTTTACTCTTCCTCCTTCTTCCTCTTCTTCTCCTCCTCCTTCTTCCTCCTCCCCTTCTTCTTCATCCTCATCGTCATCTTCTTCTTCTTTTTCTTCTTATTCTTCTTCTTCTTCTTCTTCTTCTTCTTCTTCTTCTTCTTCTTCTTCTTCTTCTTCTTCTTCTTCTATTTCTTCTTCTATTTCTTCTTCTATTTCTATTTCTTCTTCTTCTTCTTCTTCTTCTTCTTCTTCTTCTTCTTCTTCTTCTTCTTCTTCTTCTTCTTCTTCTTCTTCTTCTTCTTCTTCTTCTTCTATTACTGCCTCTTCTTCTTCATCATCATCACCTTCTTCTTCTCCTCCGCCTCCTTCTTATTCTGCTCTTCTTTTCTCTTTTTTTTTTCTTCTCCTTTATTTTCCTTCTTCCTCTGATCTCTTCTACTTCCCTTTCCCCTATTTATTGTTAATCCTCTTCTGTTCTTGCATCTGCTGCTACTGTTCCTTCTTTTGGTTTTCCTCCTACTACATGACCCTAATTATCATCATCATCATCATCAAGTGCCTTGCCAGCTGGCGTAGGCGTTCATGCATCTCTACAGATCTCGGTCTTTGGTGTTCTGGATCAATTCCACTGATGATATTCCTCCATGTCACTGGCTCAAGCCAGCCACCATAATTTCTCTTGGTCTGCCTTTGCCTCTTCTACCAGTGATTTTTCCAGTTGTCACGATATTTCCAGTGCTCCTTTTCACATCACATGGCCAAAGAACTTTGTCTCCTTCTCACTGTTCTACTTTCAACTCGAACAAGGTTGGAAACCACTGTCCTTATGCAACTGAAGCTTGATAGAAATTATTGTTTATTAAATATCAAAGCACAGACAACCACTCAGTATCAGAGGTGAGGTTTTCACCTTTGTCTGCTAGGTTTTGTGTGAAAAGCTGCAATATAAGTAAAGCTGAAGAGTTTAGGCTGCATGGAGAGATGGAAAGGGAGAAGACAAAAGAAGGAATGCATGAATTAAAGTCAATGTGACTAGGGGCAACTCAGACATACTGTAAATTGGGAAGAGTTAAATATGAATGACATAACTGATGCAAGCAAACTGACAATAAATCTACAATTGTGTGTGTATATATATATAATTTAACAAAATAATGAGACCATTTATAATAAATTAGGAAAAAAACATAATTTTTTTAAATTTAAGTTTTGAGATGTTCAGGCTTGGTTTCACTTTACTGTCATTGACTAGTTCATTGTTAGTTAGTCTCCTAAACAAAGAGCTTAGGTATTGTATAAACTACTAAATACAAAGTCAGTAAGTAGCTTATTCTATATAGGAAATCATAAATCAACTCCAGTATTGTGTAGCAGTGTGTGGCTTACTAGACAATTGTTTCAGTAGTTTGACATTGCTCTCTGAATGATCAACATTCATGCTGTTATTAAGAGCAACACAAATCAGTTTGTCATTAAACTGCATGCAGCTGAATCGAACCCGAGATGTTGAAATTATGAAACTGTGTCCACAACCCCTAAGCCGCATTCGCCGACAGTGAACGTAAACTTGCCCCGTTAAATGACAGATGGGACGTAGTGCTCAAGGGAGTGGCACGAATGATGTGATGTAGCTTCTTAAAACTCAGTTCAACTCAATTAAACTATATGTGCCACTATTAAAACAAGCAGCAGTGGTAACAGCCGCAAATTTTTTTTTTAAGCATAACTTATCTTCTTAACTCTTTGAGTCCAAGGTGGTTTAGCATCACAGGCCCAAGGGGTAGTCAAGAAAGACGTAAAATCGACCCATCATGTGTTCACTGGGCCTCTAGGTAGGAATCTATGAACGTATGATGCGTTCCTTGGGACTCAAGAGTTAAGCATGCAGTTGTCTGTCAGTCACTCTACAAAATATGAGCCTAGTCTCATATTCTTAGTACACCTTATAAAGTGGACATCTGTGGTTTCCTTGTTTTTTAACATCACTCTGGATGCCTGTACTTTCCAGAAAATTTCCTGGTACCAATTAAGGCTGGTCAAAAGAAAATTAGCATTCTTCTGAACATTAGACTTGCACCAATAAGATATAAATTAGGGTTTTTTACTCACATGACTTTGTCACTATGACACTGTAGAGAATTCACATCATCATACATATTAATATTAAGTCATCTTCATTTGTCAAACTTGTTTATATTACATGAAGGTGCGGTTTACCATAACAAGTTGGGAACCACTGATAATTAACGATTTACAAATAATGCAGTCTTTCAGTGACTTGACCAAGTCGGTGTGCTGTACATTACCTTAAATCTGCTATATTCAAGTATATACTGCGTTCACTGTGAATATTTTGCTTCTTGTACCTTTATTTTATTCTTTTTTCAGGTGAAATGGCAAATGGATTGCCTTTGCGTGAACAAAAACAAGGTGTGAAATTATTAAGTGTCTATTTTGGGGAGAATCTTTTGGAAGATGAGAAGGCTTTTGCTGAATTCACTAGCTCCCACACAAAGAATTCTGAATGCTGATATCATCAATGGCAACATCTCCCATGAATCCGGCCACTGTGGCTTCAAAGATAATCTGAGGAAAACAAATGATTAGTCGTCACTATTATCATTATTCCTGCCCAGGATATGCAGGTTTAAAGGGCAGTGAGCACACCAAAAAGCATGGCTGCTGTCGCACTTCTGGCAGTGAGCTACTATATATGATAAGGCTAAAATGATCATACCTCTATGTTAGTGGGCTATTATGGGAAGTGAAGAATAGTAAACTGCAGAACAATAAAGATTCTTTTGAATCAAGTTGTCAGCGGAACAGAATTCTTATCCTTTGTTAGACTGATGCAGCAGAGAGGAAAAAAAGAGAAGGAGTTGCAAAGGGAGGGGTGTGTTGGCAGGAATTGGATGGGTGCCAGTTGGTTATGCTCCACTGGAGACTAAAGGACAAAGAAGAAGGATTTGGGGAAGGTTCTTTGGAATCAAGTGTCATCAGAACAAACTGTCCATACCTTGACAGCTGATTCGGCAAAGAGTTAGAAAGATAGAGGACACTGAGTGAGCTACATGCAATGGTAGAGGACATGACGACTTGGCAGAAGTTGGTTAAGAGTTTATGCTGCATTGAGGGATGAAGAGCAAAGACATGGGAATATTGTTTGAGGCTGTCTGGGATTAAGTGTCAGCAGAACGGAGTGTCCATGCCTGACGTGATTGATACATTTCAGAGGAAGCAAAAAGATGTGACTGCTGTCGATTTAATATCGAAAACTATTTTTAAGCTCAAGCAGAGACCAACAGAGAGAGAGAGAGAGAGAGAGAGAGAGAGAGAGAGAGAGAGAGAGGGAGAGAGAGAGAGAGACAGACAGACAGACAGACAGACAGACAGACAGACAGACAGACAGACAGACAGACAGACAGACAGACAGACAGACAGACAGACAGACAGACAGACAGACAGGACAGACAGACAGACAGACAGACAGACAGAGTATGACCAAAGAACTTAGCGATAGACACGAAAAGATCCATTGAGATACAAAGTAGTGTTTTGACTAAAATCTTTATAAATGAATAAAACATTGGAATCCTATAAAGCAACAAAGAAAAGACGGTAAATCAACTTGCTCCCCTAACAAGCATGTCATATGAGGCGACTAAATAGAGTGCTTTCTTTAAAGTCGAATTGCATCCACCTGAGTGGCAAAACACCAACAGTCTGCTCACAAATAAGCCAGATCTGTGAAGCGGAAGTGAATGTAAAACTGATGTGGATTAAGATCAAAGTCCAGAAGTGGACGAACGACCAGAACTTTCCACCAGCTTTTACAGTTGGTAAACGCTAAAAGGAGGGTGGGGGGAATTCATTTTTACAACAGAGAAACATTGCTTTGACTTACATTGAAACTGTAGCCACCAGTACTCGTAATGTTCACATGTTGTGAACGCCACTCGTTGCCCTGGTCACCGGTCATACTCCACAAGACCTCTTCACGACCCATGTTCGTCAGATAAGACACGGTTAAATTACCCGTGCTATCTCCGTACATGTGGTACCAGAAGAGAAGGCAGTGTCCCGCAGGTGAGCTGTTGACAGTTGGGGATATCACACGGGCCGTGTCACCGACAATGGTTCTAGAGGATTCTACATACAGGTAGAAGCCATCTGAAACGGAGTATAGTACAGTATTGAGATATGGGTTACTGTAGTCTATATACAAGTATATACTCTTCAAAAGCCTGGCGCTCTAGATCAACGTGTAAAACCAGATTTCAAACCCTGGCTGAACAAAAGTAAAGACATGGAGTCATTCTATTACTGGTTATATGTAAGGGGGCTACATACAGTCTTTTATACACTGGCTATACAAAAGTAAACTGCATAGTCCTTTGGCTGTTGGCTTTATGTAAGGATAGTGCATATAGTTTTTAAATATTGGTTATATTTAGGGAAGGTATATCTTGTCTTTGAGATATTGACTGTGTGGAAGCATGCACATAGTCTTTCAGATACTTGTTTTATGTATGGAAGCTATAAGTAACTGTTTAGCTCTCATAAATGATGACAGCATGGTTGTGTTTGTGTACACATATATCTATGCATGTGTTCAGACTGGGAAGGGGGAGGAGAAAGCTTGGCTATATATTTATATTTCTTAATGATTGAATAAAAAAAAACTATGGCTTATTTTTGATTGTCTTTCTTTTCCGGATACCGGTCTTGCCTTCGTCTCTCTCTCTCTCCCTCTTACACACTCTCTCTCTCCCTCAGACACGCTCTCTCTCTCCCTCACACACACTCTCTCTCCCTCACACACACTCTATCCCTCACACACACACTCTCTCCCTCACACACACACTCTCTCCCTCACACACTCTCTCTCACACACACACTCTCTCTCCCTCACACACACTCTCTCTCTCCCTCTCACACACACTCTCTCTCCCTCACACAGACTTTCTCTTTCTCTCTCTCTCTCTCTCGTCATAAATCCTTTCTATTATCATTGGAATCCAGTTTGTCTTTTCTCAAAGTGAATCTTCTTCTTCATTTGTCCTTAAAAGAGTGGCTGGTATGCTGTGTTGTGGTTTAAAGCCAGGCTGCAATATCTGTGCTCGTCAACCTAACACATCTGATTTCAGCAAATTAACTAATTGCCTTTTATGACATGCTTGTTGAAGAGCAGTGGGATAATTCTTTTTGCCTCCCCCCCCCCCCCCCCCCCACCAAAAAAAAGGGCAATGACAATGTCTGCATGATCCACTGATCCACGGAGCGGCCATTCTCAATTAATGCAGCACCTGCCAGTCTATCAGCTCTGTCATTACCAACATACCCTGGGACGAATATGAAAGTAACTGCACACACAGGAAAATTTTGCAACGACTCAAGCCACTGTCTGTGTAACCAGCCTGCCTCGACCCACCGGATCATGCTGAAAGAATCACTCAGCACACACACGAGGTGAATAGTCCTGTGATCCCATCCACATAAAAGCCTGTGTCACCACCATCACCTCCATCGTCGTGCTGCTGGTGGTCACGGATAAGGCACCGCTGGCTTCCTTAACTGTTCTGCCTGAATGCGAGCTGTATATGCCCATGCACTCCTATGTCCTCGTATAATCGACCCGTCTGTGAAGATCACCACATCTGTCTCATCTGATTTGTCACTGATAAGCGCGCATACCTCGGCATTGACAGCAGCTGGATTCTGCTCCCGACAATTCCTATCGAGCGCCAAGACACAGGAGAATGTGAGATTGGGCGCTTTAGACACTGGAATCCACTCCTCACCTGGATAGATGTCTGTAAGGCTCCAAACCTGCATGATGTCATCCTCTGCCCTACCCAGCCATTACTTGCTCTTTTAAGCCTATTGCTCTTTTTCTTGAAGAGCATGTGGTGCAAAGGGTGCTTCAGATCTGAGCTTATCTTGAAGTATCCATGAGCCCTCCAGATCTTGATCCTGTAGTTCATGGTAGGGAAGTCAAGAAGGTATCTCACTGCTACACAAGAGGTGTCTCCATTGCACATTGCTTTATGTTGCACTTTCTCAAGTCTTTCAATCTGAGTATGGCAAGAGCATATTCGATGGGAGAAAGTACAAGTCCCTGGAACAGAAGCAGAAGCAATCTCTGCTCAGTGTTAGCGGCAGCCAGGACCATCATTGCTGACAGGCCTTTGCGTGCTTTTGTTATGACATGGTCAACATGTTCTTTGAAGGATAGGCTGCGATCAAACCTCACTCCAAGGTACGTCATGAGATTTGTTCTCGTCACATTTCCTCGCTGCTTTCCATTGCTAGTAAGTCTGCCTTCATTTTATGCGTGTTCAAAGAGAACCACGTTACTGAGGCCTTCGAAGGGTTGACATGACAATTAGAATCTGCACACCAGGCAGAGATGCGATTAAGTTCACTCTGCATTGACTTGGCAATCTCTTGACGATCTCTTCCATGTCGATATACTAAAAGGCCATCAGCAAATGACAAGGTCCTGCCACTCCTGTGCAACTGCTGCCCAGTCATCAGCACTGTGTACACGTTGAATAGCACTGGAGACAGCGGAGGCCCTTGAGGCAATCCTGGGCTAATGGTTATCGGTTCTGAGGATCAACAACCATACCTGAGTATCACCCGTCTCTGAAACAGTGCTGCGGCTACACAGCGAGTGACGAAGTGAGATACTTGCAGTTGGAGGAGTATGTGCACTAAGTATTCAAATGGTACTCTGTTGTACCCATCCTCTAAGCCTAGTGCAGCTGCACATGTTTCATCTCTTAAGTGCCAAGGTAATTTTTACGTGCGCATCAATACATACGGGCGTCCGGTTTTAAAACCCAGAGACCAGGGGCAATTACTAAAATCCACGTGAAAAAATTCCAGCCTTCACTGGGGTTTGGTTAGTGGTATTAATGTAGAACACTCCAAAGGGGACTGCATTAGTGCAGTCGATAAGAGGCTCGCTTTCAAATCCAGCTGCGACGCGCTGCAGCCCACGCTCGGTGTTCGAAACCGGGCGGCTATCGGGGTTCACCCAGCCTCTAGGAAATGGGTACCAGAGTTGACACTCGGGGTAAATGGAGGAACGTCGCTGTAGCAAAAGAGTTACGTGCGGACGGCGACACAGGCGGACAGTTTCTTATCAGTTGTCCGTACTGGTGGCAGAGCACTTATGGTTTATAACCGTGTGCAATGACGCTGGTTCACAACTCCCGACTTTACCTTTTTACTCCAGAGAAAATGAGGTAGCAGGAACAATTAAAGAACTCGAGGAAGCCAGTAAGAGTAAACAAACAGAGAGCATCATGACAGAAGCATTCTCAATGAGTGAGCTTCATACAGGACTAAACCAGCTGAAATCCAACTAAGCTCCTAGTCCCGATAAAATTACGAATGATATGGAACCAAGAGCCAAAAAGAGATTACTAAACATCTTTTATGCCAGCTGGATTTTTAGTGAGTTCCTTAAACCTGGAGAAAGTCTGAAATCTTCGTAATCATAAAGTAAGGAAAGCCGAAGAACAACGCAGACAGCTTCAGATCCATCAGCCTCACTAGCTGTATGTGCAAACTACTTGAAAGATTAGTGAACAACCGACTGACCTGGTTCCTAGAGAAAAACTCCAAACTAATAGAGGAACAGGCAAGTTTTTGACGATGTAGATCAACAGAAGATCAAATGACATTTATTGCTCAACACATTAAAGATGCCTTTTCAGGAAAAGAAGCACACTATTGCAGTCTGGGTGGATATGGAGAAGCGCCTTCGATAAAATGTGGAAAAATGGACTGAAACAAAAACTACTTGAAAGTAGAATATCTCGTCACATGCTTAGGTAGATCGTGAAAAAACTTTAAAATCGAACTGCAAGAGTCAAGATACAGGGTTCAAGGTGCACATATGTGACACTGAAACATGTAGTTCCACAAGGCGGAGTTCCGTCCCCAGTTATTTTCCTAATATATATTATGACACATAATCCACAATCTGTCATGGAGTTCATGCTGTCATTATGCCGATCATCTGGCGCTACTGAGCTCAGAGGAGAATATTGGCGCAGCACAGACAAGGCTTCAAGAATCCCTAGCAAGTCTAGAGAAATGGTCCAATAGTTAATACATGTCTGTAAATGGGACCAAAACTACACACATCATTTTCAGTCTTTCTACCAAACCCCAGAAAGTTACGCTTACATATGGCAGCCAGGCACTGAAACATGATGACTCACCAACGTATTTAGTAGTAACCTTTGACCCAAGGCTCACATGGGAAGAAAAAAAAACAGAAAGAAAAGAATCAGAGCAAGGGACTCAAGAGAACTCAACTGATGAGGAAGTTAGCAGGAACAGACTGGGGGTGGGGGGTCAGGGGGGCAAACCTTAGTGTCCTCAAAAGAACCTATAAGGCCATGTGAGGCCAACACTAGAATATGCGATAGCTGCTTGGAGCCCAGCAGCTAAATCAAATTTTCAGAAAATCTCACAAGATCCAAAACCATGCTCTACGTATTATGACAGGGACCATGCGCTCCACGCCCATAATAGACATGGAAACAATTACTGGTCTCCATGCACTGGTAGACAGGAGAGATACAAAGCTCCTCCGCCAGCTCTCCAAATACCACCATACGAAAAAACCCATGCACAGCCGACTGCAGAAACCCCAGAGGGCTAGACTAACGAGAACATGTTTTTCTTAAGAACGCAAATGTCAAGCTCGCTGACCTTAAACTTCCTCCCATAGTGCCAAAAATTTCACTACAACTTAACAACCACTGCTCCTTTTGGCTTAGGAATAACCTGCCAACGGTCAGAACCACTGTAACAGGGATCTCTTCCAAATCGTCAATAAGCAGCATTGATATGAAGTATGTTACAGAAGGAGAGATCAACAGACTTTATCCACACCAGAGTTGGATTAAAGTGTATGCATATGGTTCATCCAAGAGAGCAGTAAGAGACGGATGAGAAGGTATATACATCAATATGCTTAAGTGATTTAAAAATCAACCAAGCTGTACCAACACCCTCAAATTCCTCCAGTTACAGAACAGAGGCAGATGTACTTCTGATGGCATGTTCTTTCCTGAATGGACAACAGCACAGCAAATCTAGCAGAGTGGTCTTTTTGACAGATGCTATGTCAGTTCTACAAGCGATTG